TAAATGGAAATAAATCGGGCTGTTACAACAACGCAAAGGGCCTGGGAGAAATCTGAAGCTGATAGAGATGAGTAGCGTGCAAATTACAAAGATCATGGAATAGTAATACGTTTTTTACCCTTTTATCTGGCACAAAACTGACACCTTTTTACAAGGGATCATGTTTGCATTAACCACAATACCTGCGGTCAAAATGCAAACAAAACACAGCACTCTGATAATGTATGCATTGTCCTGGAAATTGATTGGTCCACACCAGAGGCAGCTTTTGTATAGCCCAGTCTCATATGGTGTTCGACCAGATGACGCCAAAAGGCGCACAACTCAAAGACAACGCACCATCAGAGTATTGAGAGCTCGGGGTAAGCATTTACATCATGAGACCTCCTTTGCCAGTAGCAAAATATATGGTCGAACACCATATTGCTGATGTTGGAACGCGCACACCAAACCCGGGTGAATTACAGCACTTACCGGTGCGGGGTGATTGTGTCATCCCTGACCAGGGCCCCTCCTGAGGGGAGGGGGCTGGGGGGTGCGTGTGATCCCACAGAAACCCGCCCCTCGGTGCGGAATTGTATAAAAGGCGGGACCCTGAGAGCAGAGAGTGCAGTTTGACCAAGTCAAGACGAAGAACCAGCTGAAGACTGAAGTCCAGCTAGATAGACCCTGGGACTCCTCTGACCCGCTGCCCTTCTAAGGGCCGGGCAGAGCAAGCCAGTGGTACGACCCCAGAACCGCGAAGGCCGATGTCCTTTTCAGGGCCAGATTCGTGTGGCTGGTGGTCGAGACCTGTGCCAAAGCTGGGCCGGGTCAATTAATCTCCTTGAGAGGAGGATCGTAGGATAGAGGGAAGTAGAGGAGCTAACTTGGAGTGTTAGCTTGGGAAATACTTCCCTCGGTATAACGGGTGAAGAGGCCATTACCTCTTCAAGTGTCAGGTTCGCTACGTGCTGTATCGTAGTCATTGTTACTAAATACGCGTTGCCTTAATTCAACCGTCTCTGTCGTCAACCAAGGCCACTACACAAGATTCAAATGCGGCCGGCAGATCTGGTTATTACTGCAGCTGCAGTAACCTGAAAACATATGCACCATCTGCTTCACAGTGGATGTTAAAATGCCTCCGAAGTGATTCAAAATAAATAAGCCATTCCATGCCAATGTAATTGTTAACATTTACCAAATTGCACAAGGATCCAAAAGCTACCCACCTGAGATCAATCATCACCCCCTACTGGCAGAGGAACATCCACTTAGACCGCTGCTGAGTCAACTCATGCGGCACAGGGACAGTTACACCGTGGGAGTGGCCGTCGACTGTTTGAGATGAGATTTGATACAAGCCACTTTGAGTTGCTGAGGCAATTAAGCGCCATATAAATACAAGTATTTTGTTACTAGTATCCCAAGGTGCATGCTATTGAGCTTCCGTGTCTCAGCCTCCTGGTTACAGGATCTACCCAAACACGTTCGGTCATACAGTGAGAGAAAAAAAGTATTTGATCCCCTGCTGATTTTGTACGTTTGCCCACTGACAAAGAAATGATCAGTCTATAATTTTAATGGTGAACAGTGAGAGACAGAATAACAACAAAAAACCCAGAAAAACGCATGTCAAAAATGTTATAAATTGATTTGCATTTTAATGAGGAAAATAAGTATTTGACCCCTCTGCAAAACGACTTAGTACTTGGTGGCAAAACCCTTGTTGGCAATCACAGAGGTCAGACGTTTTTTGTAGTTGGCCACCAGGTTTGCACACATCTCAGGAGGGATTTTGTCCCACTCCTCTTTGCAGATCTTCTCCAAGTCATTAAGGTTTCGAGGCTGACGTTTGGCAACTCGAACCTTCAGCTCCCTCCACAGACTTTCTATGGGATTAAGGTCTGGAGACTGGCTAGGCCCCTCCAGGACCTTAATGTGCTTCTTCTTGAGCCACTCCTTTGTTGCCTTGGCCGTATGTTTTGGGTCATTGTCATGCTGGAATACCCATCCACGACCCATTTTCAATGCCCTGGCTGAGGGAAGGAGGTTCTCACCCAAGATTTGACGGTACATGGCCCCGTCCATCGTCCCTTTGATGCGGTGAAGTTGTCCTGTCCCCTTAGCAGAAAAGCACCCCCAAAGCATAATGTTTCCACCTCCATGTTTGACGGTGGGGATGGTGTTCTTGGGGTCATAGGCAGCATTCCTCCTCCTCCAAACACGGCGAGTTGAGTTGATGCCAAAGATCTCCATTTTGGTCTCATCTGACCACAACACTTTCACCCAGTTGTCCTCTGAATCATTCAGATGTTCATTGGCAAACTTCAGACGGCATGTGTATGTACTTTCTTGAGCAGGGGGACCTTGCGGGCGCTGCAGGATTTCAGTCCTTCACGGCATAGTGTCTTACCAATTGTTTTCTTGGTGACTATGGTCCCAGCTGCCTTGAGATCATTGGCAAGATCCTCCCGTGTAGTTCTGGGCTGATTCCTCACTGTTCTCATCATTGCAACTCCACGAGGTGAGATATTGCATGGAGCCCCAGGCCGAGGGAGATTGACAGTTCTTTTGTGTTTCTTACATTTGCGAATAATCGCACCAACTGTTGTCATCTTCTCACCAAGCTGCTTGGCAATGGTCTTGTAGCCCATTCCAGCCTTGTGTAGGTCTACAATCTTGTCCCTTACATCCTTGGAGAGCTCTTTGGTCTTGGCGATGGTGGAGAGTTGGAATCTGATTGATTGATTGCTTCTGTGGACAGGTGTCTTTTATACAGGTAACAAGCTGAGATTAGGAGCACTCCCTTTAAGAGTGTGCTCCTAATCTCAGCTCGTTACCTGCATAAAAGGCACCTGGCTGCCAGAAATCTTTCTGATTGAGAGGGCGTCAAATACTTATTTCCCTCATTCAAATGCAAATCAATTTATAACATTTTTGACATGCGTTTTTCTGGATTTTGTTGTTATTCTGTCTCTCACTGTTCAAATAAACCTACCATTAAAATTATACACTGATCATTTCTTTGTCAGTGGGCGAACGTACAAAATCAGCAGGGGATCAAATACTTTTTTCCCTCACTGTAAATGACCATCTGTGCTGGCTTATACAGTGAAGGCTGGCCTGCCAATGATTTATCCTCTATTCAACCAGTTTATATTATATTAGAAGCTTGCAGACCCTTAAGATATCAATATAGAATATAATCTTGAGTTTCTTTGGCAGGCGAGGCTGCATTGGTTTGGTCATGAATCCCGCATTCCCAGACACTGCATGCTCAAGCAGCTTTTTGTCCAGATATTAGGGGCTGATCAGGCGAGGCATTGGCTAGAGAAGAGATTGGAGGATGTGGAGGTGATCGGACCTGCCGATGACTGGTGCCAGGAGCGGAGATCGGCCTCTGTGGAGGAGGCCCGTGAGGTATGCTTCATGGCAGATAAGAGTTAGTTGCTCTGCAATAACGATGGGGTCGGAAGAGCGACGCCCACATGAATAATAGGTGGAACGCTGGGTTACTAAAACCCAGCAAGACAGTGGGGAGCACAGCTGGTTCTTCTGTCAGTCATGCCTTGACACCTGGATCATTCCCATTACCTATTGACACGGAATCCACACTTACATGGCCTTAAATTGCACCTATCATGGCATTAGCACTGGGAAAAGGTTACTTGCAATTCGTCATGAATGTTGGATGTTTTGTTTATATAATATGTTAATGATCCACGTGAAATGTACGTGTATTTAAGAGTTTATCTTGCAGTTATTTCACTGCATTATGAACTCAACAATTAGTTTGATTATCGCCGACAGCAAACATGATTGATAACACTGTGTAACAAAAAAAATTGTCCCTGCGTAGTAAGTGTTATTTTCTAATTGCTTATGCCTCAAAAGTACAGAAAATGGCTATTATTCCCCACAAACTTTGCTTTTGTGACCAGGACAGTGATCTTTTGAAATGTACCTATTTTCAATGAGAAAACGTGCGCATTTGTGTCATTCCTTCACGTAAAGTCCTGGTTACAAAACGAAAGTTTGTGGGCATGACCAATAAAAAAATAACATTAGCCATCCAGTGACAAAAAAAAATCGTGTTACATAGTGTAAGTGAAAGCTGAACTTATTGTGGGCCTCTGCTATGTTGATTGATCTTAAATTAATTACATGATGAAGTGAGAAAGCATTAATAATGAGCAGATGAAGGTGGCCAGGCATGGTTCTGGACACACCACCACCTTTTTACCATGCCAGTGTGTGACGATGTCAAGTTTGTATTTGCAGTAATGTATATTAACGATTGAACATGGAGGTTAAATCAAAACAATAGTTTATTTTAATTTTCCTCTGGGACTTTTTGTAAGGATGGAAACAGTCAGGAAAATATCTCAGCACATATGCAGCTGAAGTTACATCTGTTCATTCGAGCATTACAGCAAATCTGAGCCTGGATTCCACCTCGAAGTTTTGATTGAACATTAATTTATGCATTTCTGCATCATACAAATAGTATTATTTTCAACACACTTTGCTATTATAGCTGAATTTTTCTTAAATATTCCTTTCATAGCTAGACAGCCGAAATTGTGTGCTTGGAGTTTTGGGTAAACATTCATTTTGAAGATACTAGGGCATCCAGGAATATTTATGACCATTGGCCCTCTCATTGTGTGCCTGAACAGCCCGCGTGATGAATTGGGGAATAATTTTCACTATATCATGAATATATGAATAAGTATAGATGTGCAAGTCATGTGTGACTGTGTATATATGCATTCCTCTGTGTCTTGATACTGACGTAGATGGTGTGGATACGTTTTTCTGACTGCAGCTGACTCTTCCTCTGACGCTTCCTCTGCAGAATTGGTCTGATGGAGCAACGGCACTCGGCGTAGCTCGGCACAAAAAAGAAACAATGCGACCAGTGTGCATACAGCACGGATAGTACTGGAAGTTTGACTCAGCACAAGAGAACACACACAGGAGAGAAACCCTTCAAGTGCAGTGTGTGTGAGAAGGCATTTGCAGAGTCATCACGTCTTAAAATACACCAGAGAACACACACAGGAGAGAAACCCTTCAAGTGCACTGTGTGCGGGAAGGCGTTTACACGGTCATCGTTTCTTCACAACCACCAGAGAACACACACAGGAGAGAAACCCTTCAAGTGCAGTGTGTGTGAGAAGGCATTTGCAAAGTCAGCAGTTCTTCAGAGACACCAGAGATCACACACAGGAGAGAAACCCTTCAGGTGCACTGTGTGTGGGAAGGCATTTGCAGAGTCATCACATCTTAAAAGACACCAGACAACACACACAGGAGAGAAACCCTTCAAGTGCACTGTGTGTGAGAAGGCATTTGCATGGTCAGCATTTCTTAGGAGCCACCAGATAACACACACAGGAGCTAAACCTTTCCAGTGCACTGTGTGTGGGAGCCGATTTGCACGGCCATCGCTTCTTCACGACCACCAGAGAACACACACGGGAGAGAAACCCTTCAAGTGCATTGTTTGTGAGAAGGCATTTGCAAAGTCAGCAGTTTTTAAAAAACACCAGAGAACACACACAGGAGAGAAACCCTTCAAGTGCACTGTGTGTGGGAAGGCGTTTTCAAGTTCATCTGATCTTAAAAGACACCAGAGAACACACACAGGAGAGAAACCCTTCAAGTGCAGTGTGTGTGAGAAGGCATTTGCAGAGTCAGCAGTTCTTCAGAGACACCAGAGATCACACACAGGAGAGAAACCCTTCAGGTGCACTGTGTGTGAAAAGGCATTTGCAGAATCAGCAGTTCTTCAGAGACACCAGAGATCACACACAGGAGAGAAACCCTTCAGGTGCACTGTGTGTGGGAAGACATTTTCAGGTTCATCTGATCTTAAAAAACACCAGAAAACACACACAGGAGAGAACCCCTTCAAGTGCACTGTGTGTGAGAAGGCATTTGCAGAGTCATCACATCTTAAAAAACACCAGAGAACACACACAGGAGAGAACCCCTTCAAGTGCACTATGTGTGAGAAGGCATTTTCACGGTCATCAGGTCTTCAGATCCACCAGAGAAGGCACACAGGAGAGAAACCCTTCAAGTGCAGTGTGTGTGAGAAGGCATTTGCAGAGTCATCACATCTTAAAAGACACCAGAGAACACACACAGGAGAGAACCCCTTTAAGTGCCCTGTGTGTGAGAAGACATTTTCACAGTCGTCAGTTCTTCAGAGCCACCAGACAACACACACAGGAGAGAATCCTTTCAAGTGCACTGTGTGTGGGAAGGCATTTTCAAGTTCATCTGATCTTAAAAAACACCAGAGAACACACACAGGAGAGAAACCCTTCAAGTGCACTGTCTGTGAGAAGGCATTTTCAAGTTCATCTGATCTTAAAAGACACCAGAGAACACACACAGGAGAGAACCCCTTCAAGTGCACTGTGTGTGAGAAGGCATTTGCAGAGTCATCACATCTTAAAAAACACCAGAGAACACACACAGGAGAGAAACCCTTCAAGTGCACTCTGTGCGGGAAGGCGTTTGCACGGTCATCACATCTTCAAAGACACCAGAGGACACACAGGTATCAGAAGAGCCCCAAGGAGCGGAGTCTGAAATCGGCTTGTGAAAGTCAAAGTGCTGCAATGAGCCCATCCCTGCTGAAAAAAGAACCAGAATTTAATTGCAGCTTGGACGCAATGAAATGTATCAAGGTGCATTTTGAACAGGCGAAGGTGAAATGTGAAGAAGTGATGGTGAAGAGCGAAGAAGTGATGGTGAAATGTGAAGAAGTGATGGTGAAGAGCGAAGAAGTGAAGGTGAAATGTGAAGATGAAGATTCAACTCCAAAATTGGGCCTTCACATCGATGGAGGCAACGTGAAGCAGGAGGAGAATTCTGACTGTGAGGCAGAGCGAGGCAACTCCCAGCAGTTTGTGGAAGTGGAGGTGTGGGTGGACTTCTTAGACAATACAAAGTCAAATGGAGACCCTGTAGATGTGTAACGTTGAGACAATGAAGCTCCAATAGATTCAGCCTTGGCACAGGCTTTTAATTACAATAACGTGAAGTTGAACACTCCATTCCTAGGTTCAACCTGCAGAGTAAGAGCAACCAGTGTTTGCGGACCTGTGGGTTGGGTAGATCTCTAGGCAGGAGCCAGAGCCAATAATCTCCGAAGCATTCACGATGTTACACTATGTTATAATAATTTGAGCATTTATATGGCGCTTGCTTAATCGCCCCAGCAACTCAGTTGTTTTGTATCATCTCATCACAAACACTCGAAGAGCATGTTGTATATATGCCTTTTCCATAAAATTGTATTGAATGATTCTTTCTGTTGTTTTGTAATCATTTTGATCGGGATGTAGCGCTGGGGCACGGAGAGGGTGAGTCACCCCCCCCCCCCCCCCCCCCCCCCCCCCACTGCCTCCTGCCTTGCCACACACAAGACTGCTGGAGGATAATTACTCACAAGTCTGCTGGGGAAGTTATAAAATGTAATTTTAAAAAATGGCAAACCCAAGGGGGGAGGGGGGGCTAATGGGATTCTGCGGGAAATCCCCAGTTGACTTCAAGAGAAGGCCGCCGTAAAGGAAAAACCCCACAACAAAACAAAAGACGAAAACAGCAGGGGTCACGAACCTCCCTTGGACAGCGAAATTCACCCAAGGTGTTGTATATGTGTAGGCCTTTTTCCAAAATTTATATTCAGAATAATTCTTGCATTTCGCACCAACACCACCTGACCAGTGAATTAAAACATGTACATCTTGGCCCTCAAAAGGAATGGATACTCTGACCGTACTATCCGCCAAGCTGTTTCTCCCTCCATACAGAAACAACTACTTGATACTCCGGTCAAAAACATCACACTTCCATATATAGCAGTCGTTACTAAAAAGATTTCCAAATTTCTAAACAAACACAAGATCCAGGTCCGGTTCAATACAGTTCACAAAATTCGTGATCTGATCCCATCCGTGAAGGATGTCATTCCTGACTTACAGTACCTCGGGGTTTACAAATTGAGTTGTACCTGCGGTGATTGCTATATCGGGGAGACAAAGCGACATGTCTCTGACCGAATTTGCGAGCACAAATCAGATTTGAAACACGGCAGAACGAATTATTCTGCCGTAGCTGATCACTGTTACAACGCTGTGGGTGATCACGATATAATTTTCTCCGATACCAAGGTTCTTTGCAAACCCACGGGTTTTTATCAGAGATTTGTTCACGAGGCAATTCAGATTTACAAACACGGACACAATTTCAACCGAGAAGATGGTTTCAAATTAAGCAACCATTGGAAAGATGTTCTAAATCGAACCAAGCATTAAACTAATTTTCAATGCTACAGTATATTTTTTCAAGTAGTGGTACCCCAAACTTTCACAGCTTCTTAAAATTCCCTTTTCACACCATCAATATGTAAACTCCCCCTCCCCCCCTCGCCGGCCTGCACATGTTCACCCCCTCTACACCGTTCATCATGCTAAGTCCGCCAATTAAATGCTAATTTTTATGCTAATTCCTTTATCAAGGCACCTTAATTCCTCTCACACAGCTTAAAGGTCGCGGTCTGAGCTTGGCTGTGTTTACTCCAGCGCTGTCCTCGAGACAGTCTGGTCCCTTCACCTGATGAAGGCCACTTGTGTTGTGGCCGAAACGTCGTGATTTTTGTTTTATTTTGTACCTACGTGACTTTACCGAATAGAACCAAAGAGTAAGAATAATTATGCCATTTTTTTAAATTAATAATCGATCAAATAAATAAACACCCTCAAACCCGCTACCTCCCACAAGCACCAAGCATCTGGAGGTTGTGAAAGGCCATTAAATAATAAACTCCGGGGGCAAAGGGAGGTTAACGACGACGATCTGCAAAATCTCCAGATTGCCAAAGGACCACATACCATGACCTGCTTGGCACTGTTGACCGATCACAAACAAATATCCAGAATCACAGGCACGGACACAGAGAACAGGGCAAACGGACATAACTGATATATTTTTTTGAACAGAAAAAGTTCAAGCTTGTCTATAAGAATAAGTCGACATGATAGACTGCAGTCTATATTAGTGGCTTCATTATTACTTATTTTATTTCACCCTTATTCAACTCGCATTGTTTCCTATTGTATATTTCTATCTATGTAACTTCACCAAGAGAACCAAGGAATGTGAATTCTGGCAGTCAAGAAAGTGAGGGCTTGGTTATATCTCCAGCCTCGGGATATCTCTGACCTCGAGAATAAAAAAACACGGATCCCTGGATGCAGACAGGGAGCAAAAGTTAATAAAAGCCTTGAAATACCGGAGGTAACATCTAATGGTACATTACAAATCTTGGTTAAACACAAACCAAATAATTACAAGGGATTAGACCTAGGCTAATTCATTAGAGGTACAAGAAATAGGTCAAACACAAAGACCAGATCAATGTATTCCATTAAATCAGAGCCTCCCCGGCCGCCTTTGTCTTCCAACAATTTGACACAAACACATGGTAGCCATAAAACGTATGAAAGGTGCGTCCCCTCCCTTGGCAGACACCGCGAAGAGAGGGGTTGGGAGGGCAAACAAACATCAATTTGATGTAAAGCAGCCCGGGGTCACCAAGGGAAGAGGGGAGGGGGGGGTTATAGCATGACGGAGTAAGCATCTGTTTTTTTTTCTCTCGCAAGAGACGCGCAGAGGGGAGATTTTTCGGATTAAAAACAGCAACACGACACACACATCATGAGACCTCCTTTGCCAGTAACAAGATATAGGAATAGGTTTCACCCTTTTTTTTTAACTCGCACAAAAACTGGCACCTCTATTCAAGGCATCGTGTTTGCAATAACCACAACACAAGCAGTCAAAATGCAAACAAAAGAGTATTATACTCTGATAGTGCGCTGTTCTTGAGCCGCCACGCCCCCTGGCTTTTCTTGGAGCCTGGTCTCCATTGGTGTTGGGCCGGGGGACGCCAGGGGGCGTGCGGCTCAAGAACAGCGCACTATCGGAGTATAATTCTCTTTTGTTTACATTTTGACTGCTTGTGTTGTGGTTATTGCAAACATGATGCCTTGAATAGAGGTGCCAGTTTTTGTGCCAGTTAAAAAAAGGGTGAAACCTATTCCTACGACACACAGTTCAGCTCGACATGGGGAGCTCGACAAGGGACAGCTCGGCAAGAGACAGCTCTCTCAGAAGAGGGCGGCGAGCGGCAAGCTCCGGGGTGAGACTCTGCAACCAACCGGGGATGGAGAGACTCGCCGAGTAGCGACGTGTCACCGAACGCGAGTTTAGAGCCGACAGGAGAAGCGTCGCTCAAAGTCATTCCATCCAGAGTGCCGGCTCCCACCAGCAGCCACAGCCGAGCAACAGAATAACGAGCAAGGGCGTCTGCCGCCGGCGAACGAACTGCACGCGCAGTCGGGCATCGACAAAGAGCTCGGGGCAGGAGGGAGCGCGTGCGGCGCAGCTCCTCCAGCAGTGGAAGGAGCCTGCTGCTGTCAGCGGACGGGCAGCTAAGCCGACGCCCCGAGCGAGAGAGAGCAACAAAGCCGTTTCTATGACACGCCCACCGTTGTAAGACACGCCCACCGTTGTAAGACACGCCCACCGTTGTAAGACACGCTCACCGTTGTAAGACACGCCCACCGTTTGTCTGACACGCCCACCGTTGTATGGCACGCCCACCGTTTGTAAGACACGCCCACCGTTGTAAGACACGCCCACCGTGGTAAGACACGCTCACCGTTGTAAGACACGCCCACCGTTTGTCTGACACGCCCACCGTTGTATGACACGCCCACCATTGTAAGACACGTCCACCGTTGTAAGGCACGCCCGCCGTTGCAAGACACGCCCACCGTTGTAAGACACGCCCAACGTAAGACACGCCCACCGTTGTAAGACACGCCCACCGTTGTAAGACGTCCACCGTTTGTAAGACACGCCCACCGTTTGTAAGACACGCCCACCGTTTGTAAGACACGCCCACCGTTTGTAAGACACGCACACCCTCACCTCTCCGCAGGAGACAAACACATTTTTGATACAAGGGATGCCCAACCTCGGCGTTTGCTTAACGCAAGAAGATCAACAACACTCACACATTAACACATACAAGAAGACTCATGATAAGTGCGTCAACTACTAGCTGATAACGAGGAACATTGCGGCCCATTGAGTTACGTGGATACAGTCATTTAGAAGTATTTCAGTCGTTATTTTTTTCTTTTTAATTGCATAACTATTGCCAATGAATTAATTGATGAAACCAAACGTTTAGAAACCTATGTTACGAATCTACACACTCACACGGAGAATAGTGTGTTGAAATCGTTCTGTTTGATCACAGAATCTTACGCGCGAATTGATTGAAGCCTCCGCCAATTGATAAGCATTTGCTGAAGCAGGCAGACTGTCGCACACCATCGTCCCAAGACATTTCGTAACTACATAATCTTTAAATTTCGATTTAAAGCTTTCGTGACTGCAAGGATTCATCTTCTTTGGTTCTTTCGGTAAAGTCACCACCACGTAGAATGCGAATAAAATAATGAATTGATAAAATAAAATAAA